TCGCAACGTCACGTGACATGTCATGACATATCACAACTTTTTTGCCATTGCTGGCAATGGGGTGGGCGCTGTTTCGCTATGATGCATCCAGTTTCACACCCCTGGCCTATTAGATTGGCATACTCCAGGCAACTCATGGACCCTGGTAGAAATTATTTTTGCTTATTGGACAGTCAAATCTGGAGTAGCTGTGTGTTACTAGGACTTGTTGTCATCTTTATAGAGAACCCGATATACTGAGATTTCTTTTATTCTGAATTATCTGAAGATATGCTCTTTCTTAGTACTCTCCACCATTTTAAAAAAGTTTTGAGAGTCTCTGGCTGGCCATAAATTTTGGCCATTTTGAAAATAATTGAAATAACTTCTGGCAGTCAAGATTCATTCTGCAGCAAGGGTACATAGGGACATTCAACCAAGAACTACTAAAATCAAATTGTAATTTCTTACCTGATAACACCGTATCAAGTGGTCCCTAGCCTATGAAAGATATAATCAGAAGGATGGAAGAAAGGATTGGATTTCCACAATGGGCACAGAACGGTGAATGCAGGCAAAGCAATGAAAATGAAACTACATGGTCTTTTGAGCTTTTTATTTTTATACATTTTTGTATTAAAAAGGAAAAAGCATAATTACCACAAATTACAAAGGACTAAAAGCACTACTAGAATAATGAGTCACATCAGCCTATAAAGCGGATACTCTGAATAATATTACTGTTTATAATACAGGCTCTCATTCAAGTATTTTACAATTTTTCCTCTTCCTTTCCCCCCTCCCCAATGTGATGATCCTAGCACATGGGTCAAGAATTATATACTATTAACAGGAGATGGGATTGTGCATGGTAGGCTATATTAAGATCTTTTCCTCCCAGGTGATATATGGTAACAGTTGTTTTTAAAGGTTTTTTTTTCCCAAGAATAAATATAGCTGAAAGTGAATACAAACTTATTTGGTTTGTCTTTAGCAGCAAGCGCGCACACGTACACATCCTGCTCATGGAAAGCAGGTATACCAGACTTTCTTTTCTACTGTGACAGTTTCACCTGTGTACAAAACAATCATGGCGCATTTTCCAGATTGTTCATCCAACATTTCCAGCAGCTTAATACAGATTTCACACCAATGAAACTCCAAACATCATAGTTGTGCACTACTGCAGGAACCAAGCTAACAATTTTGAGGGGAAAGATTTGGCCATATGCCTGTTGCAGGCATGCCACATAAATGCTGTTATCAGAAAGTGGTCTTGGAGGGCAAAAGCTCCTACCAAGAACATCATATCCTTAACTGTGGGATCTCAGTGGCCCAAGCCATTTTCTTGTACCATGATGCAGAATGTGGAAAAGAGAATAGCAGTAACCCAAAAAATATGACTCATTTCTGTGAAGATGAATACATGCAAAAATAATGTCACCAGAGAAAAGGAGGGTTTTAGAGGGCCAGACTTGGAAGAACAAAATCTGTAAAACCAAACAGGAATGGTTAAGCCCATGCCCTTTTCATGTATCCAGTCATAGAATATGCTCATCACAGATAAGTCGGTCCTATGTTCAAGTGTCTTCAGAAAGTGAAAATGTAAACTAGCAGAAAAGGTATCTGTAGATTTTCTTAAAAAAGTGTCCGAACCCATGTTGCTGAGATGAACTCTCCCACCCTCAATAAACCACTCATTTGAAACTGATTTTTTTTAAAAATGGAGGCATCTAACAATGTTAACTATACATTCCCTCTTAAGCCTTTCTAATCGTTAGACAAATCCAAGTTTTAGAAGGTTGATATGGATAGACAAGAGACCAGAATTTGTTGTATTAACAGATTTGATTGCTTAACAAAAGAAAATAAGCAAGGCATAAATAACTCCCATCCCAGCCCTGTTTAAACAAGTAAACAAACAAAAAAAATGCATGGCAGCACTCTAAGGTTATGGTGTTGTGTATTAATAGTACAATCAAGCTACCAGGAGCAAGAAAGGCAAATACAAATCTTCGCACTATAACTGGAAAATTGTGAGGAGGAACAAAAAGGGGTAGAGACATGACAGCACCAACACGTAATAAAGGTCACTTACTTTCCTGTCTAATCTAAACCAGATTTCAACTTCCCCTTCTGCTCGGCCATAAAAGTTTAGACCTATCCAGAATGACCAAAGTTGTTTTTAAAATACCTTTTGCTTTGTACTGGAGAACAGAAACTTTCTCTGATTTAGTAATCTCAGACATTAGGGAACCACAGAAAACTTCTAAATCCCAACTGAAAGCCTCTGTTCCCAGAAAGTACTTTCACATATTATCAGAGCATAGGATACTCACAATTTTATTAACATGCACTCGCTTCCCCAACAAGGCATTCAAGCCTATTTTTGCCAAAGAAATCTCTTCTATTTATAGGATTGGTGTGATGCCTTCTGATTACGGCTAGCCTATAATTACATGCCTATAACATATTCTACCAATGTCTTTCTAAGCTGGTGCAAGAGTCATCAGTAAATCCTTCCAAACCTTCTTTCAGTGGCAAGTAACTTCTCTCAACCAGTAAACCTTTATACAGTCCAATCCTGCAACATTGTCAGATTGATAAAAATCAATGGCATTGTTACAGGTATCGCAGGTTTTTAATCAGTTATCTTCTTCTCCTACAATCTACTACTGCCTTCTTAGTGCTCATCTTAAATTTGCAAAAATGACATTTGTATGACACATAGCAGCGTTCGCATTCAGAAAAGCCCAATTCTTCAGGGTTAGGTAGAACAAATTTCCAGAATTGCTTCTAAGAATGCGTTTGAACAAGTGTCCATTGATTTTAAACACATAAGCACTCGCTTCTATCTCATGGTTCCCAAATGTATGCTTTATTTCATGTTGCAACTATGATATTTAGGTTTGCAAGGTTTGCATGGCAAAAAAATACCAATGACCACTACATGGCAGCATATCTTGTAGTTGCAGTAGTTCTAATAAAAATATAGGCATTCCAGTCCATTTGCCTAACTACTAATTGAAATCCTGGGATAATAAGGATTTCAGCCAATTCATAAAATGGCCACGATATTCCCCAAAGTTCCATTTTAGAATAGTTCTCCTAATGCAGCATACTCCGCAATAACACAATGTAATTGAGCCTGGTGAAACAGTGGAATGCTCGATTTCATTTATCATGCTTTAATGACAAGATGAAGTTTTGTTATAACAAGTGACACAGCAAAGAAAGCAAGCAATACCCTGATGCTCTTCAGCCATGCTAGAACTATAGGGTGTGCTTTGTATGATCATTGCACTATCACTCGTGAATACTCTTGTGGCAAACTCCCATTAAAGCAAGCTTGATACAGCTAAAAACGGTAGCATCAGGCAGCACTAACCCTGGGCAGAAAGTCCCATCTCCTTAAATTATCTATGTATTTAGTACCAAACCATCCACAAGAGGTTATAAATCAATGAACCGCCCTAATATCACACTCCCTGAAACACTAAATTAACACTTATCTGCTCCAAATGACTAACTGCGGGACTTAATGTGTTATTGTCTCACAAAAGTACTTTCCAGCATGTTAATATCAAGGATGCACCTGAAACATGAACTCTAAAATGTGGAAGTAGCCAAGACATCTGACAGTTCTAGAAGAAGAATCGGCCAAAAAAAAAAGATGTAGTATGCCTTGCCCCACTTTTTCTAAGGGGTATGAGGTGCAGGAAATGGAGGAATCAATTCTGAGCATTACAGAAGGGCCCTCTGCAAATGCTTTACTGAGGAGGAGGAAGAAGAGGACTGTTTTAACTTAAGCCATAGTACATAGGACTACATAAACAGCATTGCACCCTTTTACTACCATTTATCCCCTTTGGAGCTATATGGTAAGCAAGGATGGCATGACGAACTTCCTCCCCCTGCTGATTTTCCTGCAGAACACAGCACATTAGGAAAGTTAACAAAAGGTTGTCGGAAACATAATGTAGCATGTATTTCCTTTTCTGCTATTTACCCCTATAGTTCAGGACAGTTGTTTTCTACCTAATTTCAGCCATGCGAATAGCCTCTGAAAATTCCAGCAATTAGCCCAATAGCAGCCAAGATAAGCTTGGTGCTTTGTATAAAGTGGTGTGACACAGCCGATGTGGTTCCAATTCATGAAGTGATTTATTTATTTTTTTTTGTCTGTACGTGTGATACAAGAACATCAAAGTGATGCCTGCAACTAGCCAACAGTCTAAGCAGCAGCATCCTTGGCTACATGGTCATTTCAGGGAAGGGAGGCAGATTATCATAGCTATTATTAGAAAGAATACAAAAAGGGAATCCTGTGCAAGTAATCAGTACTAGAAAGCTACCTCAAATTCAGAAATGATTGGACATAAAAATCCTACTTTGCTTAGGATAAAGCTGTTTTCCTGTGCACATATTCTTCAACCACATGGATGAAAAGCAAGGGTGTATGCCTTTAGATCCACAGTCTGTGTTTTACTCTTTTCCTGGCGCAACTGCCTGCCTATCCTGGAATAGGAAGATTTCATGAAAGAACAAATGAGTTCCTGGCCTGTCCTGGTGAGAGGAAAAAAATGGTGGCGCACCTGGAAGTCTAAGTGAAGCAATGGCAGATGCAGTTGTAGCAGAAAGGACACTAAAACAGTTGATACACATACATCAGCATCAACTACACAATAGCAGAAGTTGCAGGCTGAAGTGCCCCAGTATCCCCCTGCTCTGGAGAGAAGCTGTTCGTGTGGTGTGAACCAACATTCAGCTAGGTCTCAACAGTATTGTTCCAGTTGATGCGGATCACAGCTGGGTTAAAGGGAAGACAGTCATCAGCTACTGCAGACAAGAGTCACTGAACAGGAAACAGAAATATATCACAGTCTGGCTGATTCCCAAAGAGATGCCATTTTCCCAAAATGCTCAAGTCAGGGATGCCTACAAGTTCCCAACTCCACAATAAGGCAACTTATTATTTTGAAGGAAGGAAGCAAAAGAAACAGATTTTTTTTAAACAAGTTTTTTTGTGTTTTGTGTTTTTTTTTTTTAAGTGAAAGCTGTTTTAGCCAAGTCTTAGCATTCCTATGCGAGGGGAGACACTGTGCAAGTTTATGTTCTACCCATCACGCAAAAGAACTGGGCAAGCCCAATGCAAGTGGGCCCACTTTCAGCCAGGGTCCTTTGGTTCATTTCCAGTCGTAGGTGTCTGATGGAAAAAAATGAGCAGCATAGAGGGAGCCACGACAGAAGTAGTGGTGGTACACGTGATAGTAGCAGAGACTCCTCTTGTGCATTGCTATATCCAGAGGGGGCGATGCCTGCTGAACTTGGAAAGCCAAAGGCTAGTTCTCCAAATAACACTACATTGTTCGGTCCAAACTTCCAGCTTACCAAGTGGGCTGCATAGTTGTTAAGTGTTCAGAGGGAGGAGAAGGAGCTGGATTGTGAGGCTGCATGATGCAGAGTAATTTTGGTTTATCCAAACAAACTTCTATCAATAATTTAAAACTTGATATATATATATATATAATATATATATATATAATATATTTATATTTATAAAAATCTCCCCTTTCCCAACCCAACCTAACCCCTGAAAGGCGCTAAGACATGAAAATGTGAAGGTCTGGCTCCAATCAATGACTTAATCACAGCGAGGAAAAAGATGCATTCAGCTTGGATCATCTTGTTTTTCCAGCCAACAAGAAAAATCATATGCGCTGTATAGCCCCACCTCCCGAAAGCAGCCTGGCCTTGGGCTTCTACATTCCAACTCCCTGCCCCCTTTTCCACTGGTGGTTCTAGCCTGTCTACTTCCCCATTGTTTGGGTTTCCACTGTGGCTGTGGAAACTGCATGTGGCTGGCTCAGGTTTTTGGCATCTTCCTGGCTTGGTGAGTTGGGGACTTGGCTGGATGAGGCAGACATTTGATTGGATGGAGTATGGCTGACAGTCTTGCTAGAAGACTGAGATGGGTATCGCTTCCTTCCATCTACTCCTATGGTTGCTGCATATCTCTTGTGGCTACCTTCTTCCCCTATAGGAGGCTGAAACGAGAAAAAAGCCATTAGACCGATTTATATAGCATCTCAATACTGTTTCAAGCATAATTTACGCACTTACACAGAGAGGGGGGGGGGAAGAGAAATATACAGAGCTTTTCTTTGTTACAGTATTTTTTAAAAGTAATAGTACCTCAAAGTCCCTCCTTTCTTTAGTACTTTGCTGCTTGGCCCACACTTTCAAAACTGAGATCTTAAAAGTCTTTTCATTTGAAATATTAAGGGGAAGATTTTATAGTCATTTAGCAAAAAACTTTAAGAGAAAATCAAAGAGGATGGTGACTTGCAGCATTCAACTTTGCCATGTCTGAACTGGACAAACTAGAATGAGCCCTTAGGAGTGGTAGTCCACTTCAAAATATGGCTTTCAATTCTAGTTCCCAAGTCTTGATATCCATACCTTCATTCACAATTATCTGAAGATTTTCATATATGACTGGGCTATTTTTCTTTTTAAATAGCATATTATTTTTATTATTTTTTTCTGCTTAGCATTTTCATGCAAGTGAAGGGTTGGCTTTTTTTCATGACAGTTAAGTGAGATATCATGCGACCACACATGATTTTACAAATTTTTGCCACTCATTAAGTGAATCACTGTTAAGGCAGACATCATGTATCCATGACTTGTTACCTTCCCTGCCAGCTAGCAGTAAAATCTAATTTCACCTTTTTTCCTCAGAGCAACCATCTTAAAGTGGCTGAGAGAATGTGTCAGGACCAAAGTCACCCAGCCAGTGTTTGCAATTAATTTGCAAGCAGAATTTCCCTATCATTTCATATTATTTCAAACACATTATTATTAACTGACTCTGCCTGATATAGCCATAAAAGTTGGAGAAAACGCAACCATTAGAAATATTTGTATTACAAGGAAGAAACAGTTATTTGTACCCACATCAACTCTGAAGTCTTCAAGGCGGCGGAATTTGCTGAGGTATTCTTGCAATTTGCAGTCAATGTCCAAATGTTTGGCTTTGGAATATTTTAAGAAGGCCCAAAACTTTTCAAGCCCATAAAGCTGGCCTATTAACAAGAGACAAAAAACGAAAAATAAGTCTCATTTAACATAGATGTAGGAAGCCATAACAATTTCATTTCAGCCAATAGTGACAAAAAATTGGCAACTTATGTGAACAGACTTTTAATTAGCTGCACACACATTGGAGGAGGTAAGAGACGGAGGGGACAAGAAAGCAGCTGTCTCTCTCTTTGCAGAAGAGAAAACAGCATAAAGCTAAAGGTAATCTTGGCCTCAGAACGCAGGAGCTTCTCCCAGTATTCATGTCTTTTTGAGTTTTTCCTATGCGCAGTACTCAAAACATCCTTTCATACTATAGTTTTGGAATCAGAGGGTAATCAAAACTCCAACTATTTATTCTAAAGAAAGATTACATAATTATTCCCCGAAATATCAGCCGCTATATGTGCTACAGGAAAAAAATCACTTACCAGCCTCAAAATCTTTTATAGTTTCTTCTTGGAAATCTTTAAATATGTCAGGTCGGAATTTTTTCTCCAGTCCATAACTGTAATATCTGAAGAGGCACTCCAGTCCATACCTGCAAGACCATACATCTGTAATTTCAGACGCTCTAATTTTTCTTACAAGAGCTTATTTGATCAAGTCAGACAAACTATCCGTATAATACCTCTTTAAGGGCTATCACCTTATTTGTTACTAAAGCCAAGATCAATCCATGTGTCCCCCTTTCCGTATTTAAAATGCCAACTATGATGATGCAATAAATAGGTTTGGACCTACCTGTACCCTTCCTTTCCATCCTCCAGAGCCAGTTGCTTAAATTCCTCATACATTTTCTTATTAAAGTGATCCCGAAGGAAAAATGACCAGAATCTAAAGAGAGTATTCATTTCCTGGGACTGGCCTATGCCCAGTCGTTTCCGTTCTGGATAAAAACAAAGAGGAAAAACTCTTAAGAACTATTTTAAAAGTGCATGCCAATTAAAAATACTTCACTTCATCCTCATGACAAAATACACACAATCCCCTTCATTATGTTTCTGTTATACACAGAATTAAGAATCTGCTGAATGCCTGGGCCTTTGGATCTTGAAACCAGATAGAGAGATTTCTGTAGCAATGTCATTTATAGAGCAGCCAAAGGATTGCAATCTTAAATGATATCATATAATGAATGGAAAAAGACTGGCTTTAAATGAAAGGAAACTTTATCTTCAAAACTGCCCACACCAATTAGAAGTGATTCAACTACAACCTCACATATAGCTTTATACAACTGAACAGATAACCAAGCAGAACAGAGCAGTTTTTTTGTCCAATTCACAATAAGTAGTTCATTGCACTACATGCAGATCTAGTCTACACATTACTACTTCAAACAATAATGAAGGTTTGCAAAGAATATCACTTCCAAGAAGGTAAATCTGGCCAAAATATTAGGCAAACTACCTGCTCCATTCACTATAGCCTGCACAAAAATCAAATACATGACAACTTCAGCAGTATCTATACAATTCACCATTAAGGCAGCGCCGGCGATACTTGTGGTAGACATGTTGTGTGAAGCCATTTTCTTTCAGGAGTTCGTGGGAAGGATGCTGGAACTTAGGCAATGACTGTGGGGTGCAGCCATAGCTGCCTATAGCCGGGGTGCCTTCTGAAGGACTGGAACTAGATAAATTTTAAAAAAATATGTCAATATAGGAACCAATTGCTCAAATGTTCAGAAGTAGATACAAACACATTACAGTAAATTAGATTTTAATCTGACAAGCTTTTTCTGAGAAAGTCTTAAATGTTAATTAAGGAACTATTTTGAGTAAAAAGGGCATTGACTTATGAGAAGAAGAGAACTCATACAGTTTCTTCAATAGGGTCTCTCAATCTTTTGTTCTTTAACTTCATAGAAATCATTATGCCTTCTAGTACCTGATGGATGCTGTTCGAGGTCTATGCTCCCGAGAATCCATCACCCAACCAACGTGACATTCCATTGGGGGATTTGAACTGTGCCGTGTTTTCCTTTTCCGGGGTGTCTATAAGAAACAGAAGGAACATATAAGAGGTTCTCTATGAACATTAAAGGTTCACAAAGAATTCTAGCTGAGTCAAGAGATACCCAATATCTATAGGCACATAGAAGGAGCTGATGCGCAGGCCTTACCTTGGCATCTATCAATCTGCCTTCCTTAACCACTGGGTAAAACCGGGGCGTCTGTGTGGGGTCTTTCAGCTGAGGTGTACGAGGGGTCCGAGGAGTTCTTGCATTGCGGTAGTTTGGGGATTCTGGCACAGTTGTTGGTAGAGATCGGGCAATGGTTGACGGTTCAGGCACACCAAAGAGTTTATTTGCCAGAGCATCAGTTGGAACTACAATGAAAAAAAAATAGTAGCAATTAAACTATGCTGTTTATACACAAAAAATAAAAACATCAACATCCATGCTCAGAAACTGTGTTTTCCAATTCCCTTTAAGGAAAAGAAATGAAAACAGCTAACTTCTGGTTTGGCGCTGAGGTGAGACGGACGCAGGAAATCAGGGCTCTGCCTTCCGGGCCAGATTTCTCCCTGCTGGGGGCCCTAAAGGGGCCTAAAGTCGCCCCAAAGAGGCGATGAAGGAGGGGTGTCTCGTCGATCACGGAGAGACAGCGGTCTTTCCATTGGATCCGAGGAAAGCCCTCCAAACTGGTAGGGGAAAGACTGGTTACATTCCTGTAGCCAGCCATTAGCCACTGACAACCGAAGAAAAGCACCAATTAGCAGATTGTAAACAGCATGTTTGGAACTGGGTAAGAATATTGATCTTTTCTTTACTATTTCACAATTGAATTTCCTGGGAATGACTCCCAAGAAGCTAAAAACCTCCAAACATGAGAAGGAAGGGGATTGTAGCCCCACCCTTCCAGCAGCATTTTAATTTCTTTTATGGGGAACAGAAATACATAATACTGAAGTGGAAATAACATAAAGCTACAGTTTGAATAAATTTGAGAACTGAGATAATTGTTAAGATTTTCTCTTTGGGGGAAAAAAACCCATTCAGGTGAAATATAAGAAACCAGCCCTTTGTCTTAAGAGTGGAAAGTGGGTTTTGAATGACATCTAGTGGTGGATTTGAGTATAGCACTACAACTAGCTTCCAGGCTGCTCGGTGACTCCTAACTTAATGGAGAACAGCTGGCAATAAAGAAAAATATTTTGGCATACTTATCAACCTGATCTTCTTGGATTACAAACACCTATTGAGCTTGGACCTCTATTCTCAAGAACTACTGGGAAAGAAAGAAAAATTTGACTTTTGACTACGTCTGGCTAGGAGAAACTTTTGAACTGTTTTCAGGGTGGTTGAACATTTTGAACACTTTGAACATTGTGGATTACAACCTTGCCTGACCATCCAATTCTTGGATGAAATGAAAGGATCATTTCAAAATGTTGCTTTTAGGACTGGACTCACATTCTGGAACCTATTGGATTATAAAAGCTACACATAAAGACTAGAAAATTAGATGAAACTTTGTTCTACTCTTATTAAGATTGGTGATGCTAGACAAGACTTGTATTTGGAGAACATAAAAGTTTTGACAGATTATCTGGAGGGAGGAAACAAAATGGATGTTTTACACCCAGCTAAAAGTGGTAAGAAAATATACCTTGCACCTCCATTTGAAGCCCCCACCCAGACTAATAATCAAGGATCTCCAGGAATGATGCCTCAAGAAAAAATAAACATTTTTCAGAAGGAAATATACTCTATGCCACAACTAATTCATCAAACAATTGTCACACACAAAGAGGACACAGAAAGAAACCATGAGACTAAAAACAATTTAGATAATATAAATGAGCAATTCTCCAAATTAAATCTACAACTAGAAAATTCCCAGACAATTACTACAAAGTATGAACAAATAAACCAGGAATTAGAAGTTGAAGCAGAGAACATTGACCCAGAGGCGGAAGAGATAAAAGAAGAGAAATATAAACTACTATATATAAATAAAATACTGCAAGACTTAGTCATAACAACAAAAATGGAAAAGGCGCTTTATCCCTTAGGTCTGCAAAATATACTTGATGATAAGGAAGAAGATTTTAAAAAATGGAATATAGAACTGTCAGGGGAAATGTCACAACTTGGGAGACAAAAAATGAAAAGAGAAATTGAGGGGGAAGGAAAATGGGAATTGCTTTAGGAATATAAATGGGCGGAATTCTCTCCCCCCCCCCAAAAAATACCCTACCTAAATTGTCTTCCACATTCCAAGCAACTTTTACAAAAATAGAAAGAAAATTCCTAGGCGATTTAATTCCCTTGGCCTGGAAAGCTACTTGGCAAAGAAAGCAAGCAAGTTAGACTTAAAAAAATAGAAGATTTGACCTATTTAGAGGGGGCATTATATGAATAAATATGTTTGAATATGATTAAAAGAATGGATGACCCTTAGATATAATTAGACTTTCATAATGAAAAATATGATTTAGAATTAAAATAGCATTTTTTCTTTTTTTGATATGGAAAATATGAAAATAAGAGGATAGCTGGTATGAATAAAATTCTTAGCTATACAAATGTAATTAATACTGAGAAAATCATAATTGACAAAGATATTTCAAATAAATATGGGAAACAAAACTTTAACAAGAGCATGAAAAACAGGATATTGATTTATGAATTGATATTGTTATTTGTATAATATTAGTAAAATATGATGAGGATGTTTATATGTAACTTTGTATGCATCAACATAACTGATTTGTAATGAAGGGAAAATGGAAAAAATATGGGGAAGAAAGGAGGATCGGGGAAAAACACTGGATTGTGCAGTACTGAACAGATTGACATTGAAGAAGTCACTGTTAAATATGTGAACCCAGATAACACGTTGTTTACTAAGCACTAAAGATTGTAATTGTTAAAAATCAATAAAATATTAAAAATAAAAAGAAGTGAAAGCAACAAAGTTTTAAAAAGCAAGCATAAAATGATGGATTTGGGCACTGAAATAAATATAAGATTTTTAATATATGGTGCTCAGGGTCACTTTGTGTAAGATGGGCGGGCATATCAATTTGATAAATAATAAAATAAAACAGGAAGAACTTCTAGATGCTTTACATGCAAGAAAAAATAACCCCAGAAGACCAGAGAACAGCAGATTAAAAATACAACAGTGCAGACTGAATGGTCAAAAGATCCTATGTGGAAGACTCCTACTGAATCTCTGAAAACCCTTACCTTGCTGGAACCTGGGTGGTCCTGGGGGAACCTCTTGATTTGGATCAACAGGAGGCTCAGGGGTAAGTGTGTCAAACTGCTCCCTGCTGATCATATTCACCTTCTTGAAGTTTTCTACTTCTTGCTACATTTCAAAAGATCACAAATGAAAATTAAAATACATGACTAGAAGAGATTTACACTTTATGTCTATCATGTCAGGGCAGCACCAAAACCTCACAAGAATCTCAGTAAATTGGGGACATAGAAAGTGGGTCCCTAAACAGGTGACTTATCAAGAATAACTGTTTCAAAATACAGTGATATACCTCGCCATCTCAGTGTAAGACAAATCATCAGAATTACAAAACAAAGCTTTTGTGTACAGTTTAGTTAGGAATTCCGCAGAAGACTAAAATCAATGTAATTGTGACAAATGCTCTTTTCTCTATGTCTGTCTCCCATTCACATTCAACAGAGACAGGTTACAAAGTCAATAAAAGGAGCTCATGAAAGTAACATTCTGACTTCCTGTTCACATTATTTTAACTTTTTTTTCCCCATGCTCAGACAGCTTATTTTTAGTCACATTCAAGAACTGAGAAATTTCAGGAGCAACTGACTATGGGGAGATGACATCCAAAATGGATTAAATACAATTATCCAATTATGTTTTATTGAGCCCACAGCTATCTACTGATTCTGTATTACATTTTAATATAACATCGTCAGATAATATGTCACAAAGTACTGTACAAATCTTCCTGTATTCGCCACTGAATTTTCTTTTGTCAAGATAGAAGTAATGGACAAAGTGAAAACAGAATTTTAGAAAGGTCTGTAAATTTATTAAAAAGAAAAAATGGAAATATCACATTGGCACAAATATTCAGACCCTTTGCAACAACACTTGAAATTTAGCTCAGGTGCCTCCCATTTCTCATGATAGTTGCTGACATGTTTCTACACCTTGATTGGAGTCAATTAAATTAAATTGATGATTTGGAAAGGCACACACCTCTTTGTGGATGGCCTCACGGCGGAGGACAATGCACAATGAAGCAGAGCAAAAGCCATGAAGTCAAAGGAACTGTGTGCAGAACTCAGACAGGATTATTGCAAGGAACAGATCTGGGGAAGGCTACAATACAATTTCTGCTGCACTGAAGGTTCCTAAGAGCACAGTGGCCTCCATAATTCTCAAATGGAAGATGTTTGGCGCAACCAGGACTCAAAAGCTGGACACCCAGTCACACAGAGCAATCGGGTAGCAGGGCCTTAGTAATAGAGGTGACCAAGAACTCAATCTGAGCTCCAGAGATCCTGTGTGGTCATGGGACAGAGTTCCAGAAAGACAATCATTAGTGCAGCCCTCCACAGATCTAGGCTTCTCCTCAGTGCAAAACACATGAAAGCCCGCTTGGAGTTTGGAAAAAAAAAAGCATGTAAAGGACTCTCAGACTGTGAGGAACAAGATTCTTTGGTCTGATGAAATCAAGATTGAACTGTTTGTCTGATGAAATCAAGATTGAACTGTTTTGTCTGATGAAATCAAGAATGAACTGTTTGCCCTCAATTCTAAATGTTATGTGCTGGAAGAAACCAGGCACTGTCATAACCTGCCCCATATAATCCCAACAGTGAAGCATGATGGTGGCAGTATCATGCTGTGAGGATGTTTTTCAGCAGCAGGGATTGGGAGACTGGTCAGGGTTGAGGGAAAGCTGAATGGAGCCAAGTATAAGGATATCCTCAATGAAAACCCATTCCACAGCACTCAGGATCTCAGACTGGGCCAAAGGTTCCTTTTCCAACATGACAATGATTCTAAACACACAGGCAAGACAACACAGGAGTGGCTTAAGGACAATTCTGTGAATGTCCTCGAGTGGCCCAGCCAGAGCCTTGACTTGAACCCTACTCAACATCTCTGGAGGAACCTAAAAATGGCTCTCCACCAACTGTCGCCATCCAACCTGAATGAGCTTGAGAGGATTTGCAAGGAAGAGTGGCAGAAAATCCCCCAATCCAGGTGTGCAAAGCTTGTCACGTCATACTCAAAAAAACTCGAGGCTGTAATTGCTGCCAAAGGTGCTTCAACAAAGTACTGAGTGAAGGGTCTGAATACTTATGCCAATGTAATGTTTTCATTTTTTCTTTTTATTAAATTTACAGACATTTTTAAAATTCTGTTTTCTCCTTGTCATTATAGGGTACTGAGTGTAGATTAATGAAGAAAAAAATGAATTTCAACAACTGCAAAATCAGGCTGCAGCATAACAAAACTGACAAAAGTGAAGGGGATTTGAATACTTTCTGAATGCACTGTATAAAAAAATCACCTTTGCTCGAACATATATTAGAATGCTGATATATACAAGAACAAATGTCATCAGTCTAGGTTGTAGGGAATAGGTGAAGATGATTTATACCAATCCTTCAACAAATGCAAACTAAACATCACATTTAAAAGGTCTAAGTGACAAAAAGGCAAGATATGTGTTTGACATGCTCCCTTGTTAAAAGGGATCAATTTAAGGTAATAGCATTCTGTTATAGAGCATAAGTTATGGTAACTTTTGTTATTTAAAATTTATAACCAGAAGCTGGCTGATTTTATCCCCAGTGACATGAGATAAATGTAGCAACACTGTCCTCACATTTTCTGGATCAGAATATAGAATCTTCCTCAACTCAGCCTACTATCTATACTATTTCTAACACCTCACATCCTATCGATGCTAGGTGTACAATAAAGTCAATATATAAGCCGAAATAACAGCCTAATAACTACATGAAAGAAGGCACCGTAACAAACCCAAAGAAATATTTGTTCACTAATATGCAGTGGTGATAAAAGGCGTTTAATTCTCATTCGTGCCTAGAAAAGATAAGGAAAATATTCTGTAACCAAGAGTGATCAGGTGGCTAGTGTGTGCTTGAGATCATAATCTATATGGTAGTAGGAAACAATTGGTAGAACTTCCTCTCCAAAGCACTCTGCAAATACAATTAACTGCTGGCTTGTCAGACACTATATCCCAAAAAATACATGCACATATCTAAGAGTATAAAGGTAAAGGTTTCCCGTCTTTTCCAACTCTACAGTAGTGGCCAAAATTGTGGAAACCTTTTGGGGAAAGTGTACAGTAGAAATGCCACCGTTGGTTACGAAATGCCACCGTTGGTTAAGTTTCCACCAATTTTTCTTCTAATTTCTTTATAACTGTAGCCTTGTTCACTTAATAATACTATTTTACATCGCTTTCTGGGCAACCAGTCAACTCTTTGCACCATTACTTTAATTTTGTTACATTTTACAAGCTCACTAAATGAAAGAACACAAAAAATCCCCAACCAACTTGATAGCGATCACATAACACACTGACAAATGTCCTCCTCTCAGCTTCAATACATGACATCAATAACTGAATCCTACTGTGATCTTATTGGCTCACTGCCAAAACAAGATGACACCTGATTGGCTCTCTAAACATTCATGCTCATTGGCTACAATCAGATGAAGGAAAGCTACCTGATATCAACCTAAGCAAGTTGTGCTTCCTTTTTCTGGTTATGTGGCTATAACTTTTCACAAACTACAGTACAGATAACTGAATAAACTACGTTGCATTACATTCTTGATTAAATTATATTTCCATTGATATATAATTTTATGGCACTACTCCTCCCTAAAAAAGTGGTGTTATTAGCCATCAAACCTCAAAAATACACTTTTTCCCAAACAGTTTCCACAATTTTGGCCACTGCTGTAGGAGGCAGTGCTCATTTCCATTTTTTAGACAAGGGAGCCAGTGTTGTGCAAAGACACTTCCATGGTCATGAGGCCAGCATAACTACACGCTGAGTCACACAGAACACTGTTACCTTCCCATTGAAGTGGTACCTATTTATCTGTCCATGGAGATTCTCAATCATTCAGGTCAAGGTTTTCCCAAAGGTGCTTTTTCAAAAGGCAACTGGACTTTGTTTTCCCTGAAGACGTTTCGCTTCTCATCCAAGAAGCTTCTTCAGTTCCGAACTATCTAATCGCATTTGCATGCTTTCGAACTGCTAGATGGGCAGCAGCTGGGACAAGGACAGAAGCTCACCTCGTTGCGTAGCATTCAGGTCTCGAACCGGGACTGTCAGCTTTCCAGCTGACAAAGCCAGCATCTTTAACCACTGAGCCATTGCACCATCTGAGATATATTGGCTTTTACATAAAACAGCTCTAATCAAAAGGGAATTGCACCCAAAATATAAGCATAACTGCAGATAATTTGATATTCATAAATCCATTTATAATCAATTCCTGACTCATGGTATCTGATAAGATAAAAGGTAAGGCATTGCAAGGTATTAAGATATATGTGAGGAAGTTAATAGATGTTTAAAGGAGCCCCACCAAAGGAAATGCCCGAAGTCAGTTATGGACTCAGGTTAAACATCTGCTTTCTGAATCTACCATTTGGTTAAGTTTTCTTGATGCACATGTTCACACAGGTGGGTGAGCAAAATGATTTTGTATTAGTATATTGGTTCAAGTTATAGTAATACACTCAGGACCTTTGCTTAGTCCCATCTACATTCATTTCATGTGGAATAGGATAATAAAACCTGATTCTCACCTTTATCTGAGAATATTCTGGTTCAAACTGTTCTGTCCATAAGTCTTGTTCATAATAATATAGTCCATCATTGATCACTTTGGCCAATTCTGAGCTCATCTTTGCCCTGGAAGTGTGGTTGCCTGTTCTGTCTCCCCCTGGATGACGGCGCAGATAGGGGGGTGTCTGTGTTACAATCAAAATTTTATTTACGTCCCTGTCATCAATCTCATAGTCTGAATCCTCATCTGACCAATCAGTGAAGGTGTTTTTACGACCATCCATCTGTTCCATTTCCTCATCAAAAAGAAAGTCCAACTCCTCTGGTTCATCCTGATCCTTCTGCTTCAGTGGTGTTCTAGACTCTTCTGTTTTCTGATAAAAAGTGAGATAATGTTATTAAGATTGGAGCTGTGGAGGACTAAGCTATACTACAACACTCACAGGAAAATTACAATGAATTCTCAGTTTCATCCTCAAGATAAATAACTTAAAGCTTCATCTGCAATACGCGGCTTGAAAACAAAGTTCATTTCATTTAATCCTGCATCACATTACACACCTGCCCACAGAGGAAGACTAAGAGAAGGGCAGAACTATACAGGTAGTCCTTGCTTAATGTCCATCCATTCAACAAATATTTAAAGTGAGGACAGTAGTGAATGAAGGGACCTTGTGACTGCTCTTCAAAATTCTGATCATTGCAGTGCCCTTGTGGTCTCACGAACAAATTTCAGGCCCATTCAGGTTTATGAACGTCTTTGGCCACTCACTTGCCGACTGCCACTAGTTGCCCCCATCACCTGGCAGGGGCCTTCTTTTGTGCCTTATACATGGCCCTTGTTTGCACGAAAGAAGGCCCTGGGTGGGGCAGGAACAGAGGCTCTCGTTGGTGAACAAACAGAAGCCCAGGGCAAGGTGTGAGGGAAGCGCCCCAGGTGCACTGCCATGGAAGAAGGTGGTATGAAAGAAGGCCCTGACCAGTAAGTAGTAATGCAATGTGGAAGGTATGAAGGCAGGCAGGGCTAGGCATTAGGGGCAGCAAGTAGCCAAAAGGGCAGAGGAGGCAGTCCCTTATCTTACCAAGGCTCGGAGGGATCAAGCCAGGAATGGCTTGGATTCAGGTGGGTTCTTCCTAATGACTGGTGGAATTCAGTGAATGACAGCACCAGGGATTGCCATTGCTAAATGATGAGGTCCCATGTCATCACATTTTGCTACAGCATCACTTAGTGATAGAAATTTCAGTCCCACTTACCATCATTAACCAAGGGTGACTTGTATGTACTTTTGGCAGTCAAAAGTTGCATTAAAACAAGCCAACCAACCCATACCCTTGTAAAACACATCAACAACACTGTGGACTATTTGTCATCCCTTTTTTATTGTTGTGTCTTTGTCAGAGTTTTTCTGTCTGAAGTTAAAAAAAAAAATATCCACCATTGGAGTTGCACAAAATGGTTCCAATTTCAAACATAGACTTATTCAGTTTTGAATTCAACCCTGATCTCCAAGGGCAGAGTATATCCCTATCTAGCACATTTAATTGCAATTAAAGTTAGAATATTACATTAGTCAGTCTCTTGACAATGTTCTGTCTTCTATAAGGTTAAAAAAAAAGATAAAGGTATCCCTGCAGGTTTTATCCCGCTAGTCGTGACTGACTTTTAAGCCCGTCTTCTGTATCTTCTATATGTTATTAAATCCTGTAGAAAGACTGGCCTCCAATGCAATTCACTGGTTACCTTGGGTCTGATAGGAGATGGCCTAGGCCTCTTCTTCACTTCAATCCATGCCTCAGAGTCCAAGTCAGGCAGGCTGGCAGAAAGACCTTTAGGCATTGTCTTCAAATTAGAAACTTCCTCTGTCTTGCTTGGCATGGGACTGGCAGAGCGGGGAGAACCAGGAGCAGATTCTGTAACATGTATTTAAATAAAGTATCTGTACAGGCAAAATACTTGTTTTACAAAATATCAACAAAAATAACTCTATAATATAAATTAGCCTTGGATGAAAAGGAAATAAAGATGTAGCACTCCTACGGGAGAGCCAACTTTTAGTTTTAAGACAAATGGACAAGAAGATGTCATTTACATATTTTAATTCTAATTTGCATTAACTATGTATAAAACATATAGGTTATATCATGTAATTTTTGTCAAGAGTTTTACTTGGCCTTTCATTTTTATAAATTTAATATTTTATTTATTTTTTCTCGATTTCTACCGCTCTTGGTTACTTAACCTTTTTTCTTATCCACTTTTCTAATATAATCCCCAGACACATCATACAGCACCAGTCCAACCCTATCTTAATGCTTTTACCATCAGAAAAATACAACTGGAAGACATATTATGAAACAGACAAACCTGTTTGATCACTACAAAATTTGCTAACAACATACTCATAACATGAGCATAGGGAGCAGGTTTGTACATTCCCAATGTCAGGATTTCAAAATGGGGAGCTTTCAAAGACAAACAAAAATGCACTTGAAATATTCTTTATCCAGAATACATGCTTAGGTGATGGCAACAGATAATTGAAGCCAAATGGAACAATAACTTGCATGAGCAAGGCAATCTAGTTGTACTCACAATCTATTAGATCCTAGAAAAGATAATAAAAAACAGACCTGCGAACAACTAGAAGCAAACAAAGTCATAACCAGTAGCCAGCATGGGTTTGTTAAAAACAAATCATGCCAAACCAATCTTACTTCATTCTTTGATAAAGTGACTAAACTAGTAGACCGCCGAAATGCTGTGGACGTAGTATACTTAGATTTCAGTAAGGCATTTGATAAAGTAGACCACAACCTACTCCTTGGTAAACTAGAAAAAGGTGGAATAGACAACATCACCACCAGACTGATGACCTGCATATCAAGACGGATCTGTAGCTGGCTGACAAACCATACTCAACGAGTAGTCCTCAATGGCACTACATCCACATGGAGAGAAGTAAGCAGTGGGGTACCACAAGGTTCCGTCTTAGGCCCAATATCTTCATCAGTGACTTAGATGAGGGAATTGAAGGGGAACTCATTTAATTTGCAGATGACACCAAACTGACAGGAGTAGCCAACAACCCAGAAGACAAACTCAGGGTCCAAAAAGATCTAGATAAACTTGAACAATGGGCCCCATCAAACAAAATGAGTTTCAATGTGGAGAAAAGCAAAGTTTTACATTTAGGCAGGAAAAATCAAAGTTACAAGTACAGATTGGGCAAAACCTGGCTTACAAACAGTAACTGTGAAAGGGACCTTGGACGATCACTTGAGCCAGGACCTTGGACGATCACAGGAGCCAGCAGCAACCAAAAAAGCTAATATAATTCAGGGTTGTATAAACAGAGGCAAAGTATTAGTACCGCTTTATAAAACCCTAGTAAGACCACACCTGGAATACTGCAGCCAATTTTGGTCACCATATCACAAAAAAAGATGTTGAGAGTTTGGAAAAATTTAGAGAAGAGCAACTAAGATAATCAAAGGCCTGGAGACTAAAACATACAAAGAACGGTTGTGGGACTTGGGTTTGGCTAGTCTAAAGAAAAGAAGAAATAGAGGAGCCCCTCAAGTCCAGTACTTGAGGGGCTGCCACAAGGAAGAGGGGGTCACTTTGTTCACCAGAGCATCAGAGGGAAGGACAAGAAACAATGGTTGGAAACTGATCAAAGAGAGAAGCAATCTAGAATTAAGGAGAAACTTCCTGACAGTGAGGACAATCAACCAGTGGAACCCCCAGAAATCATGGATGCTCCATCACTGGAGATTTTTAAGAAGAGACTAGACTGAGATGGTATAGGTTCTCCTGCTTGAGCAGGGGGCTGAACTAGAAGACCTCCAAGGTCCCTTCCAGCTCTATTCTATTCTATTCTATTCTATTCTATTCTATTCTATTCTATTCTATTCTATTCTATTCTATTCTATCCTATTCTAACTCAATGCACAAAATTTTATTCTAAGAGGTTTCATAGAATGTTCAGTTAAATCTGCTGCTATGAAATAATCAAAGTTTATTTATTTCAAAAGTTTATAGGGATGCTCATTGGGGCCTGACATATGTCAGGGAGGGGAAATTATTCCAGACAGCATAGGCAACCACAGAAAAGGTCCTAAATAAATAAATAAAAGAAACTTACAACAACTTACAGGAACTAACCCTAACCCTGTGGGAGCATGTGGAGCAGGTAGTCAATCTTGGGAGAAGGTGGTTCCCCAAGTAACCTAGTACTATGTATTGTAGGATTTTAAAGACAATCATCAGCAACTTGAACTACAATTGGAAGTCTATCAGCTTGCAGAGCGGCGGTGTTACATGGGCACAATGATATATATTGACAGATATCCATGCTGCTGCATTCTGGACCAATGGAAACTTCCAGATGATTTTCAAGGGCAGCCCCCTGTACAACTGTGTGTAATAGTCCAATTGGGAGGTGACCAAGGATAAGTAACTAAGAGCAGGACCTCCCAGCCTGGGAATAGGCATAAAAAGTCTTCTGGCCATAGCTGCCCCCAGCTCTTTGAGCAGGAACACCTCCAGGTTGTTTGAGAGAGGGCACACCACCACTTCTTTCAGAGCTAAGACTAACTACAGGATCACAAGGTGGTGGGCTGTGCATGACAAGGGATATAACTTTGCCCAAGTCCAAATCACACAGCCAGTGCCCCAAAACAAAGGTCAGGTCTATCATGTGCCCCCCACTCCCTCAGATCAGACCTGCAACAAAGGGTCAGGTTCATGGTGGCCATGAACTTCCATGCAGTCTTTGGGTCTGCCCCCGTAAGATAGCAGATTGAAGTTCCTCTAGAATCATAAATCTTGGAAGTTCCACTGCCAGGCCAAAGACAGCCTCAAACATAGTAGGCAAAGAAGCTGTTATGCAGCAGGGAGGCTGGTCCAAAGCTGAACTCCAACTGATTTTCAGGCCCAACCTTGCAAGTAGGGTCTCACATGTGGTTATCTGAGAGGCAGTGCCTCTGGCAACCTTCAGAATCCCGACAGACAATAGCACATACACATACACGAAGTTGTGGCTAATGCCACCTGCAAAATCCCACTGGGCATATTTCCAAGAGAGGCATTTCCTCTTCTTTGCTCGGCGGGGTCTCAGTAATATATGCCAGGTTTGCCTTCTCATACAGCAGGGGTGTCAAACTGCCGGCCTGCGGGCCGGATGCATCATAGCGAAACCGCACCCACCCCATTGCTGGCAATGGCAAAAAAAAGTCTCGATACGTTGCAACACGTCACATGACGTTGCGAGTTTGACACCCTTATCATACAGGATCAAATCCCATATTATTAGAGGCTGACCTTGAGCAACACTAAACGTTAAATTATTATCTTTAATAACCCAGAGACTCTGGATAAAATACTGAAATGTCATTTGGTAATGCTGCTGTTTTGTAAAATAAATGTTTGGCTTGATCTCAAATTATGTAGCAACAACAAAAATCAACATATTTGGTGGAACATATTTGATTTTCATATTTTTCCATCTGTACTGACCTGTCTCTTTTTGGAAGCTCTGCCTGGGCACAAATTCTGGGCAGTTGATTAGCTGAGAGAAGTCTGTTTGTGTATAGTCTGTCATGGGAGGGCCAGGCAAAGGCCACTTCTCTGGTTCTTCTTTTCTCCTGATTTTCTGGTCTATAATCTCCACCACTTTGCTGTCTTTTAATGCCTGGAAAACAAGCCCTCATTTTCAGCATCAATATATCAAAACAAGTCAAGGAGGGGTGCTGCCAAAAAAAGGTATCCTGCAGATACCTATTATCTGATAGTGAAATGAGAGTTTTAAACACATCTAAAAGAATATTGAACATTAAATAATTTAAAAAATAATCCAATATATTGCAGTCATTTAGGAGTCAGGAAGTATATAAAATTATTTTCATATGAAGAAATTATATTTTACCGTGCCACACTAACATAGCTGAAATTGAGGAAATCATCGCTTTTTTTTCTCTAAACAGCTTTGGCCTTTCCTGTCCTCCTTAAATGTTCTCCCACTCATTCCAATGGCCAATATCTTACTACATATATCCTGAGAGATGTTAAGGTGAGGCTACCCTGAACCTTTTACTAAGCACAGCTTGGGACTATGCAGTCTCTCAATCCAGGCATTTTTCTGAGAAAGCTCTGTGTTAGTAAAATCCTCCCTCAATGCTCCTGCAGGTGCCCAATTCATCACAATGGAAGAGATTTTTAGTGCAAGTTTGAATGAGATAGTATGGTATAACCAAAAGTGAAATGAGAACACACTCTAATACATACCATGTTTCCCCAAAAATAAGACCTATCCCAAAAATAAGACTTAGTTTGATTTTTACGTGTGCGCCTAATATAAGCCCTACCCCCCAAAATAAGCCCTAGTGTTAGAGCGAGGCCCACTGGTAAAAATCAAGCCAGGGCGGGGGTGTGGAGCTGCCCCACGCACCCCGCACCAGCTTACCTTAGGACCACTGCAGCCAGGCCCCCCACACTCCGACACCTGTCGCGTCGCTGCCAGAGTTTTAATGCAGCCTGTTGCTGTGAGCGGTGGCATCACTGCAATGAGCCACACATAAATCGGCTGTGAGCGGCGGCACCAGCACAATGCGCCACATGGCGTCCAGCCACAAGCGGCCACAGAAGAATTCGAGCAGCAGCATGACAGGTGTCAGGACATGGGAGACCTGACTGCGGCAGTCCTAAGGTAAGCGGGTAAGACATCCCCCAAAATTAAGAACTGGTGCCTCTTTTGGAGGCAAAAAAATATATAACACCGGGTCTTATTTTCGGGAAAACACGGTAGGTAGCCAGGTGAACAGATTATCCCTTACCTTAATGATAAGGCCAACATCTGTGGTTAGGGCCTGTACCCGATGGAAACTGGCAATGAGAGTGATGGGAAGGAAGCCTTCAGTGTCCATTTTCCGCCTCAAGAAAAAGTCTCTTTCCAAGTTGTCAACACTGAAGTAGTATTCTCTGAAAACAGCAAGTAATGGAAACTGAAGTAGTTATTCGTGTCATATGCCAAATTACAGTAATATCACTTCAGAAAAGTTTCTCTCAAGCATAATAACTATTACTCTATCATATCCATCATTTTTGAAACTGGTCCCAATCTAAGACAGTCTTACATTTAAATATATTATTTTTCCTTCTATATTCTCAAGTGGCTGTTGGGCATAACCTTGTCTTCTGCTGCCGCCACCACTTTAAGAACCAGTCATTATTTTGAATGTTTTCAGTTGCCTACTCCTAAACAATTTGATAAGTAGGGCTTATTATTATAGGCTATGGTGCTGCTGCAATAATTGCCATTTTACTCGTTTTGGAAAGGGCAGCACAGTATATCTAGGAACAAAGAAATAAATAAGAGACTATTTAGCAATTTCTTAACGAATAAAATTAGTTTTCTGTCAAAGAAATAAAATGCTTTGTCAAATATCTGACATGGTTTTTGAAATACTGAAAAACTATTCCTAGAATCAAAACTAATACATACATCTGTCGTTTGATGTAGTCTTTGAGCAATTCTTGGTCAACACTGTAGAGTTCAGTGCTACTGATGTTGTCAAAGTAGTAAGTGATATTACTAGTATATTTCTGTGCACGTGTGCCATCAGAAGCATCGAATTTCCGATACCCATAATGATAATCAAAGTGAGCTGTACAAGGAAAAAGAGAAAAAATCCTTTTTAAAACCTTTCCTTCTCAAACAAAATCTGTATTGCACTGGTCAAACACAATCAAGATGAAATATAATAGCCAGGCAGGGACTACTGTTTGATACCATAGCCACTGACCTGTCTTGACCTACGTGGTTCTATATTTTCTCCCACATTCATTTCTTCATCGAAACTAAAATGTTGGGAAAGGTCACCTTGAGGTTGGAATAAGGTGTCACCAATATGATATTCTGCTGATAGCTTATCACATAACTCCCAAGAATATGGTACATACTCATAATGTTACCAGAATTCAATAATAGTAAGGTGTGAAGGAGGAGGCTGAAAATGAAAAATGACAAATGTGCTGCTAGTCAGTAGAAAGTTAAAGACACAAGAATTGAGATTCAGCCTGTTCCAGAATAAAGAGGATTCCCCTAAACCTCTGAAAAATCTGATGTATTCTTTGGGAATGCCTGCACTCCCAAATTCAATAATGCAATAATAAGCAAATTTGCACATTTATGTTCAGTGTGCCAGCTATGACTGCTTCTGAATCAGCTGTATCTGCTAACAGTCCCAGATGTCTTGGTCAAATGTCAATGCACTCAATCTGTGGAAATTCTTGAAAGGTACCGGGGGATGCCAAGTGATACAAAACATGGCAGATAAGCCGTGAACCAGTGCCACATCACACCCAAACAAAGCTATCTTATCTACTTCACAATTTTTCTAACGTCATGGATCAAACATTTGTTGTCTGAGGATCAAAGGTTTTCTATCTGCAGAAGAATCTCTCTTTATTACAATTCTCAATTTGCAAAGTCCTTTTACAGTATGGTTTTTTTTTAATGCCACCCTTTTAATGCCACTTTACTTTTAATTATTAATCATTTGCAAATAAAACTGAAAGACTCTTGAAGCACATTAAAGACTGAAACACTTAAGATACTGTAAAAAAAACTTCTCCCCCCCCAACACAGGATATTTTAGAACTGCCTACTTGTCTTGATTTTTCAAAAGGGTATGCAAGAATCAATCATTTTAAGCTTTCTTTTTGTAATTAATAGACACTGATATTAATGACTAGCCCAAAAATACCTAGTGAGCTTCTAGATAGGACAGTAGAATTGAACCTGGGTCTCCCCAACCCTACTCTAATACTTAATCACCGCATTGTATCAATTATTTAATTTTTAATTACATTTCGTGTAATTGTGTTTTTACTGTGTATTAATATTTGTGTATTATTTTTACTTCTATTATTCTTTGGTTTAAAAAGGAACTAACAATCAATAAAAACAAGACATTAGTTTTGGAAAAGTTTTTAAATTCTTTCACCTTGATTCCAACTATAGTCAATTATAGTTTAGCACAAACAAATCAGCTATCCTCAATTACTGACATTCATAGTGGAAATAAAATGTTGCTTGCCAGTTCTTTATCTGCAGCATCACCAATATTCTATAGATGGGAGAATGGTTATGAATATATTATACGTACAGCGAGTACCTCCTCTTCCTCTCCCTCTCCCTCGTCCCCGGCCACGTCCTCTGCCCCTGAAAGCACCACGAACAGTTGCCCCGTCGCTTTTAACACTAGAAGTTTCATCATGGTCAGGCCAATTCCGCTCATGCTTGTTATCTAAATGCCATCCTGCAACAAAATAAATAGAAAGAGAAAACATGACTGAGATTAAAACACTAAAATGACTATGAACTGGCATGTTCAGGCATCTTTAAACAATCAAGTAGGTTAAAAGAATCAATCTACTTCTATCATTACATACAGATTAAGGAGGCTTAGCTAGACATAGCAACACTATTTGAAGGGGGCTAAACTAGACACAGCAACATTGAAAACCCCAAATTTCTTACTTGTTATTCTCACTGCTAGCCACAAAACAGAAACTTTGCCATATAAAAAGAAATATCCTAATTAGCTAGCTTTTAGACAAGGGGTCTTCAAACTTGGCCTTTTTATGACTTGTGGACTTCAACTCCCAGAATTCTTCAGCCAGCATGCCTGGCTGAGGAATTCTGGGAGTTGAAGTCCACAAGTCATAAAAGGACCAAGTTTGAAAACCCCTATTTTAGACTATACTATAAACCATGTGTCAGTTTAGAATAATCAATGGGTGCAGGGGTATGCCAAATTGGGGGGGGGGGGGAAATGTCCTCAAAGTCAGAACAAAATTCAAAAGTGTCTTGATGTTCTGTATTCCAAAAGACTAAAAAGCCAAAACATTTCAATTGGTTTGCAATAGGGAACAGGTTTACAAAAACATGGAAGTAGGAATCCATGTTCAAAAGAATGATTTTAAAAAAATTAACCCACAGTTAAAACATGTTTATAATGCCCATAGCAAATCATGGAATCAGCAATTTAACAAAACTTTTGTAGCTTGGTCTTCATGAAAATATCCACTGAACCGAGTTGAACAACCAACAGATCAACAACTGATTTTCCCTATAAAATCCTCATTACCAGGAAAAACAAGCATAAAAATTCAAGTAGCTACTTATTAGCTTAAAGCTTCTGTTTAATGGATAAGCAAAATGTATGACTGCATTAGGCAATATGCCTGTAAGGCTCAACGAAGAAACCAATACACTTTGATTTACAATCTGAAATCTTAAAACACAAAGACAGCAACATTGCTATTACTTCTCTCCACAGCACTTTAAAGCCAGCAATAAAGCTCACTTATCAAACAGTCTTATAGGTTTTTGGATCAAAATTGACTCTAGCATACGCTTAATCAACTATACCTCAAAACCTATTTCCCTTCAACTAATTTCAGCAATGGGAGTAAAATAAAAACCCGTATCTGCTACTTTACTGGCTATAGGTAATCTTTGCTTACCAACTAGAACTGGGACTGGCAATTCTGTCACTAAGCCAAAACTCCTGATAGTGCCAATCTTACAATATCATTTCCATTTCTGTTGTTAAGTGAATCAACACAGTCAGTAAATGAGAAAATCATGTGACTGTTAGCCTTACACTTCCATTTCTGTCATTAAGTGAATCATCACAGTAATAAATGAGACATCATGGGACTGCAATCACATTCTCTATTAATTCTGCTTGTTCATAGCTGGTTGTGAAGGTTGCAAATGGTGATCACATGCCCGTGGGATGCTATGATGGCTGTAAATATGAGACCTGGTTTTTCTAACCATTGTAACTTTGAATGGTCATTTAAAAAGGCAGTTGGTAAGCAAGGACTAGCTCTAATGACTTTACCAGGTCACCACTACTAAAGAGAAAACTTATTTTTGTCAGAATACTCAAAGTCGCCTATTTCAAAATAGAAATGTTTTGCTCATTTGTGTAAAAGGATGTTATAATATAAACAATACAAAACACAACTCTGTGTGTCTTTGTGTGTGTGTGTGTGTGTGTTAATTTTACTGCTTTCAAAGATATTCAACTCATACCTTTTGATTCACTTCGGTTGTTGGAAGGATGCCGATGCTGCTCATTCTGTCTGTTGTTACGAGAAGCGGTTTTATCCCTTGGCACTTCAGACTTCATATCTATTTGCAGGGGTACCCATTTGTGTCTGCTGCCTACAATACAGAAATTACTGCCTGATTAATCTTCAAAGGAATGTATTATTCTACACCAAAGCAACATAATTCTAAACAACCTGCGACACCAACTATCAAAATATTTCAGACTCCCAGAACAGCAATGAATAACTTGAGATTTCAAAAAACAGTTATGATAAGGAAATAAGAATGCTGGCCTAGAAATAACACAATCTGTTACTCCTGTTCTACTTTGTGAGTCCTGAAAAAGTGCCTGCTGAGGAATATATTAAAATGAAAGACTGAACCAGAATATTGTTCAAGCTTCAGTTCATAAATTCATGTCTTTTCTGAGGGCAGAGATTTACTTTTGTCTTGTGCCTTTGCTTACAATGAGAAAAAATGTTTGCTATAGTACACTGATATTGACTAAGCTACAAGATAATGGATCAGCATGGGGGGGAATGGCAAAGTTATATATTTCTAATAGACTGTACTTGGAACATTCTCTGATAAGATTTTAAATTATATTGTTTCAAGATAATAGAAAACTGTTTCTCTATACTAAGGGGGTCCTCGATTAATAACCCACTTATTCAGTGACTGGCTGAACTTACAATAGCACTGAATGAATGGTGCTTGAGACTGGTCCTCAAAGTTCCAGCCCAGGAGTCTTCAAACTTGGCCCTCAGCCAACGTGCCTGGAACCAAAAGGGCCTTAAAAGGGCCAAGTTTGAAGACCCCTGAATTATATAGTCATTAATTCCTAATTCACTGGAAGTACAGTCCTCTTTATCAATACAGAGCCCTGCCAACAGCAATGCTGATAGAAAAGTCCAAAGTTGCCATACTAGCACACCTGCTAAGACCCCTGGACAGCCTTTTCTCACCCTTTTTCTTCTGAGCCGATTTCTGGTTGTCATCATCTCCATTTTTCTCTTCTCCTGATTCATCGGATCGAGTTTTCATGTTCTCTTTACCATCACTTCCTTCCCCTTTTTCCTGCTCCCTCATGTTTTTCTTAATGTGAAGTTTCCGTAGAGATTGGGGCTTTTGTGACAGCTGCTGAAAATGATAGATGAGACATTTGAGGTGGAGGAAAAGATAATTGCAAATAACGTAGCAGCAGGCTTTCCCCAGTTTCTGAATCGTTTTGAAACCTAGTAACAGTCACATTTCGTGAATGAAAACAGGGGCAGGAGACGAAGACAAAGAAAGGCATTTTACAAAGTTGTAAAGCTGACACTCCGCTGCCAAAACAGAGGGAAGTCCAAATCAGAAATATGCTTTAAGCATTTTTGTATTCATGTTCTACTTCTGGGTATTTGTCGCATCCACACTGAAGAGAGAATAAGCTAAGAGCATATTGACAGTTTAAGACAATTTCTTAACCACTGTTGTATTATTACCACTTTTTTGACCGCAATCTTAACATTGCCACATCGTTAAGTACATCATCTTCTCTTCACTTTGGCTAGGTTTTAGAATGAGTTCCAGGCTTCTGTCCCAGAATAGCATTGCTGAGCTAGGGATGATGGTGGGCAGGGAAACCCTAAAAGGAAATCCTCTGCCTGGAACCTGTAATGAGCTATTCCTGGCCTTCTCCTAAGCATAGAGCTAGCACCCCCCCAAAAGTGTTGCTCAGACTAAGTTCTGTAATGGGGAAAAAATAGTGTCTATATTGAAAGCATGAAGAGAGATTCCTGCAGTTTCTGTTCATTCTCTCCTTCCTCCACACCCATGCCCGGGTAATCTCTGACTATATTTAAATGGATAATTTTTGAAATTATCTAATTATGCTACTTTTGATATAACAATGATACATACATGAAGATCAGCAAGAATCTAGGTCAGTAAAATGTGGAATGTAGCTATTGTGTTCCTCTCTTCCGTCAATACATATATATGCACTCATACATGCACAGTTTTCTAAACCCCAACTTTCTGCAAATTGATTTTAATAGGAATAAAAGGGTGTTTTTTTTAAAGTTCAACTGGTATCTTTCTTTTGTGACATAATATTTGGAAATTCTCTAAAAGAACATTGAAGGCTTTTATATCCCAAAGAAGTTCCATATAGGAAATATGCAAATGAAAGGTTGGAATATGATCAATTATATCCAAATTATATGAACAAAAAAACATGTTGAATAAAAAAAGTTATTCAAGCAGTGAGGACCCCTAGTGGTGGTTTCTTTTTTGGATGTATGAGTGACAAGCACTTACATATACACATATACAAGAAAAACAGACTTAGCACGGGCATCACAAAATAGTTTACAATAAAAAACAGGAAAGTCAAAGTAAAAAGTATTATTTATTTTAAAGAAAAAACAATTAAGGGAAGAACAAACAAAAGAATGTTGAAAAAAGAATGGTACACAGGATGATAGGCCTCTTCATTTCATCTTAAGCTCTATGTTGTGTGAGCCTTTTTTTTTTACTTAGCGACTGTAGAAGCCTCTTAGCCTTCCAGAAAGCCATAAAGATCTTGTGCTTCACCCAAGAGTCAACCCAGAAAGGATTGAGTTCAGCACCTGTGTAGTGCTGTGAGATTGTTATGGCGCCTGATTAGAGTATGATGTTTTTAATTTGGGTATGTGTGAAGAGAGGTGTTTACGTTATTATAGGCATTTGATTGATATTAACTGCCCACGGTTGCCATATAAACCTCTTAAATACATACATACATGTATTGTATGTGTGTGTATATATATGTATATATATATATGTATTTGCACATTTTTCTATCTGCTGTTGTGATTCCTCGCCAGCCAGTGGATCCGGCAGCTGAGTCTGAGGAATCAGATGAGGAGGAGGGGCCTGGAGTGACATTAGAGTCAGAGGAAGGTTCTGAGGAGCTCCAAGACTTACAGTCGGATGAGAAGCCTGGCCCCTCTACTCACTCGCAGGCTGAGATACAGCTGTGCTGGGAGCCTGAGTTGGACAGTGATGAAGAACAGTTGGGACAAATCCAGGATGCACGAAAGCGCAGGCAAGAGAAGCGAGTAGGACAGAGGAATGCAATGGGGCGACTCCAAAGGCAAAGAAGAAGGCATTAGGAAGCCACGCTTTGGCTGAATTATAAAAGGGAAGGTGTGGGAGGTACTGGTTGCTGAAGGCAACCGTTAGTGTTGAGGATCGAGTTTCTGTGGACTGTGTTTGTTTGCCTTGGACATTGACTCTTGTCTGTGAGAATAAAAGGGGTTGGTTTTTTCTTGCGGTTCCTGCCTGTTTCTTGGAAGAGGGGTTTCTCCTTGTGAGCATAGCAAGGACTCACGTAGGCTGGGACAGAACATCTGCATGTCTCTATCGACACTTATAATTTACCCATATATACACCTAACAGCAAAAGCCCCAAGAACAATAGCCAGTTTTGAGCATCTTCTCTCCTAGAATGAAATGAAAAATATCCACTATTGGATATAAGCTATACTGAAGAATATGATGTAGGAACAACAGAAGCAGTCAATTCAACTACTTGAAGATTATTTTATTGTACTTTTTGGAATATTTGCTGTTTTGAAGAGTTGTTTGATAGCCAATTAAGTATCTGTAGTAATAGATGTTACAATAATAACGGAAATCAACAAAAAAAAATCCACACATCCAATATAATAGAAAATAATAGAGTAATACCTTCCTTCTAGAACATACTCAGATATAATAATAATAATAATAATAATAATAATAATAATAATAATAATAATAATGATGATGATGATGATGATGATGATGATGATGATGATGATGATGATGATGATGATGATGATGTTGGAAGGGACCTTGGAGGTCATCTAGTCCAACTCCCTGCTCAGGCAGGAAACCCTATACCATTTCAGACAAATGGCTGTCCAGTCTCTTCTTAAAAACTTCCAGTGTTGGAGCATTCACCACTTCTGGAGGCAGGTTGTTCCACTGGTTAATTGTTCTAACTGTCAGGAAGTTTCTCCTTAGTTCTATGTTATTTCTCTCCTTGATTAGTTTCCATCCGTTGCTTCTTGTCCTGCCTTCAGGCGCTTTGGAAAATAGCTTGACTCCATCTTCTTTGTGGCAGCCCCTGAGATATTGGAACACTGCTATCATGTCCCCCCTCGTCCTTCTCTTCATTAAACTAGACATACCCAATTCCAGCAGCCTTTCCTTATATGCTTTAGACTCCAGTCACCTAATCATCTTTGTTGCTCTTCACTGTACTCTTTCTAGAGTCTCAACGTCTTTTTTACATCGTGGTGGCCAAAACTGGATGCAGTATTCAAAGTGTGGCCTTACCAAGGCATTGTAAAGTGGTATTAATACTTCACGTGATCTTGATTCTATCCCTCTGTTAATGCAGCCCAGCACTGTGTTGGCCTTTTTGGCAGCTGCAGCACACTGCTGGTTCATATTTAAGTGATTGTCCACTAGGACTCCGAGGTCCCTCTCACAGTTACTACTATTGAGCAAGGTACCCCCCTATACTATACCTGTACATTTGGTTTTTCTTGCCTAAATGTAGAACCTTACTTTTTTCACCATTGAATTTCATTTTATTAGATAGCGCCCAGTGTTCAAGTCTGTCCAGATCCTCCTGTATCCTAAGCCTGTCTTCTGGAGTGTTGGCTATTCCTGCCAGCTTGGTGTCGTCTGCAAATTTGATGATTTCCCCATCTATCCCCTCGTCCAAATCAAGTAGCATCAACCAATAAACACAAAAACATGAAAATGAAATAGTACTTTGCTAATATTATTATAACAAGCCGCTTCGTGGATAAGGAACACTCCTGCTAAACAGAATTTATTGAGTTGGAGAATATTCTTCATTCAGCAACTCCATTAATTCACAAATAGGCCAAACAGATGTGATTTTTTCCCCCGAGTCAGAATATATTCTTACCTGTATACTCTTGTGAGCTATTTCTCCTGGCGTTGGCCAATTTGTGGCATCCCCAAAGTCACCAACCTGATACAGCAAACAGATAATACAAAATCAAGTTCAACTTTTGACCCTCTATACAAGTCCAGATTTAAGTATTTCTATTCCTTCTAGTGGCAGTTCAGATGCGTAATACCATAACAGAACATTCCAACCAGGTAGACACCTTTGTGGTATATATGCTTTATTTGGTATTCTGTGACACAGAATGTCAGAGTTTTTAATTTTAAAATTATGAAAGATAATTCCCCATCCCTTCGCAAGACCCCAGCTCCTCCACAAATGTCTTTCCACTTCAGGGCTGGTAGTAAGTCAAGCACATCGACTTTACTTACACTTCTGCTTCACGTAGAGCTTATCTATTTTTCAACTTGAAAGTTACCTGAAACGTATGTAACTTCTCCTTCATTGGTTTCTAATTTTAATTTCCTTTTCTGTGAGATGTCACTTAGCCGATTATTTTGAAAAAGTGAGTGAAGCCAAAACTGGTTTCTCCTTTATGAACCTTATGGATGATTCTGTATATGCCTATGTTTCTGTGTGTAGGGGTGTTTCTATTTTATTGCAGATTTTTTTTTATTAAAAGCTTTTTTATGTTATTGTAATGCTGTATTTTAATTTTTTATTCTAGTATTTGTGCACAACTTACCGATGACTCCATGGGAAACATCATAAAATACATTTAATAAATTCAACATATTTTTTTCATACACAGTGCCATCTGGTGAGCATGATGAAATTTACACAAAAGCAATAGAGAATCTTCCAAGTCATTTTGAGTTACATTGCAAAACAAGAAAGGCTTAATTATTTTCCAGAGATTAGGAAAAATCAGATGGCTTTTATGTAATTATAAGTTATCTGACAGAATCCTTAGTGACACAGATTCTGTATCATTATTGCTTATACACAAGGAAAAAAGATCCCACTGTTCCTGTTCAGTACTCAAAACCAATGCAGCAGACCGCAAAACTGAGACCAGCTTCCTGAATATATAGAATAGTTTAACTTCGGTATGTTTTCCTGCCTGATTTGTTTATTTTTCCCTCTCTGAATATTTCTTACACATACAGCTGGGTGGGGAGGGTTTAATGGGAGCCACCAGTTTATTTACAAATATTTCATGACTTGCATCAGGAGGAAAAGAAAAATTTTCAAAAATGCAAAGAATTAAGTAGATCCTTAACATGACAGCATCACCATAAAAAAAAAAAACCACTGAAGAGAATGAACCTTGTCCTACAGAACACTGCAAAAGTTTCCAGTGCATCAGGAAATGAGAATGCAGGGAAAAATTGTGGCAAAGAATGCAAGAGCACAACAATGGTAATCACAGTTAAGTATTGGTGGGTAAGCAGTTTCTCATATAGGCAAAAAGCTTGCACCATTAATAATGCCTGTAATAAAAATTCAATCATGAGTGAAAGAGCCAAGCTAGCATGTATAACCAAAACCTGGTTAAGCATGGAGGTGGAATCCTCCCAACTCAGAAATTAGGCCCTGTGGGATTCAAGTGTGGCATCAGATGTGATCCCATGGTATGGATGGAAGAGTGGCTATCAGTTATCAGGGAGAACCCTGTGGCTTCAGGGATGCTGCATCATCTGGATGAAAAACCCTACTTGTAAAATTGGGCCTGAAGGATCAACTTGGGATTATTGCTTCCCTGATGCAGCTGCTTGATTCTGCGGCCAGGTTGGCAGTGGAATTTTCTAAATTCATAGACTTGGGACACTTCAACTTGGCTTCTCTAGGTATGAAATTGAACATGGTTCAGCATTCATGACCATCATGACAATAGGCCTGACCCACAGCTCTGATCATGAATCTATTTTTTTTTGTCTCAGGGCAGAAACAATGTGATACAATCTGATTATGGAGTAAATGTATATAATTCCTTGTCATAGTGAGATCACTTTATTTGTCGGAGTACTTCTGGGCTGTCTCCTAACTCAAGCAGGTAGGATCCATTTCCTCAGTCCATTGCACTGGGGTTTCCCTAACATTCTAGTACTTCAGATGACTGAGGTCTTAGAACCTGGAACAACTTATTCATAACCTGGAACAAAACAATGGGCTTTGGATCAGATTGTACTGTGTAGCTGCTTTTAGAACCTAGATAGCCCTTTGGGTTTTGGAAATAAAACAAAAGAAACGCCTACTGTTGGAGGAAGGTAAGGAGTAAATCCAATTGAACATGGGTTTTATTAAAGATTACCCAAGGGTGCTAAGAGTGACAAAATGTAACTGCTCATTTGCTTGCATCATATCTGCAAATTGCCAAACAGTGGCTCTGTTTAAGGTGAATTAACCCATCTTGAGGAGAGAGAGCCTGGATAAACACCTGCAAGACTGCTGCGAGGAACTTTTAGGCATCTGTCAAATAAAACTGAATTTGAACGTGTTTGTTTCAAATAAGTGCTTCTTGATCTCCCAGCAGCTTTCAACACTATCTGTAAATTGTTGGGTGAGGTCATCCAACATCAAGGGGCCAGATACTATCCATATACTGATGAGACTCAACTATACATCTCCACCCTGGCTCAACAAAGTGATGTATCAAAATGCTTTTTCAGTGTCTGGAGGTTGTGGGAGCCTGGATGAAAAGGAATAGTTACAACTTGAGCTCTGGTAAAACTGAATTAAGAACTTAACATCTTTAGCTCTGAGCAGGGTAGTACCCCTTAACAGAGCTAGTCCTCCTATGCTCTTGGGGGTCATCTTACTCTCTTTCAAGAAATAGTAACAGCTATGGCTAAGAGAACTTTTGCACAGATACATCTTTGTGCCAATTGCTCCTCTTAAATTAGGAGGCCCTATTTACTATCACTCATATTTTGATTGATTGTTTCCATCTGGACTACTGCAATGTATGGGATTGCCTTTAAAGACCATTCCAAAGCGGCAACTAGTCCAGAATTCCGAATTATAGGTGTGAGTCAGTTTACCCAAATATCACCTCTCTTCTGTGAGCTACGCTGGCTCTTAGTGGACTTCCAGGTACAATTCAAGGTGCTGGTTAACATCTTATTATATATATCTCTTTTCACAGCAAATTGTCATTGTATTTGCAAGACCAGTCTCCAATGTCTTCCCTCATCTGGCAAGCTCTATCTAGCAATGTGGCCATAATCCAGTCCCATCTATTAAACCATGTCATTTAATGGGAGTGTACTTTTTCTGTCATAGTACCTGGCTTAGGGAACAGCATATCCTACAAAATTTGGATGGCCCTGACCTTGATGCCCTTTTGTGCAGTGTTTAAAGAGCCAAATTTTTCCTTGAGCACTGAACTCATCTCAGTGTGATTATTACTTTTTTTAAGGGACTGGGTGGAAAGTACAATGTATTTTCTTTTATTCTTTTTTCAATTTATTTTAATTGATATTAATCACCTAGAGTTGCATTTTGATTGGGAGGCCATATAAATCTATATAATTAATAAATATATAGGAGGTAAGGCACTATGCTCTCTGTAAATTTTAATCACTGTTCTCTTCATCAGGTGAAAAAATAATAATTCTTTAGAAGACCGGAAGTCCTCCTGACTAAAAACTGGATCCATAGTAGGTAGTATCTCTAAACGGTGACTTCAGCATAAATACAGGTCCTGCTGTGCTGAAGAGGGAACTGATTTTACAGAATTAGTGATTAGAAGTGGAGAGGGAAGCTGAATGGGCACAGTCAAAATAACAGAAGTACAGTTGTACAACTTTGGCTAAATATGGGAACACTGTGGTATTATCAGATACAGTTGCTGGGAAATTTAGGATTTATCAATCTAGTTCTAATGTCTCTCTGACACAAAAAGCAGACCTTTGGTCCTACAGGATTCCCTGCCTTTATTTTAATGCTGTATTATTTTATTTATATATCATATTTAGAGACCGTTCATCTTACTCCCAGAGCAACTCTAATTATTTACCAGGTCCTTAAAAGAAACCATGTGCTATACTTATCATGAAATAACTAGCAGAAAAGGATAGGATTTGAAGAAACTAACAAGTGTGTCAACTTTTCAGCAGGTATTTAAAAAGAAACTAGTAGAATGAAGCTAATGAAAATAATTTCGTCACTCTTAGCTAACTGTGAGATGATGAAAAATAAATAAATAATGCAAAAGGATACGTTTTTATAATAACAAAGGCTATGTTTTTATAATAATTCATGTTCAGGCCACAAGTCCAAATTCCTAGATATTTCAGACGGTCCTGGAGGAACTAGAGGGGAGAACAATTTCATTTAATCTAAATCTATGATTTAATTCCATTATCTGATTCAAAATTTTTGAGGAAACAGAAGGTAATTGGAAATAACCAAAGAACTATTACATTTAGCATAAATGCAAATAGGAAACAGCATCCAACAGTCAAGTATGAGTATGAAAGGAGAAACTTCTAAATTAGGGGAACATTGAAAAGAGACATTGAAAGGAAGAGCCAAGAAGATTATATCTTTTCATAATGTTTGGATGTTCTTCAAAAGCACAATGGCTTGTTTTAATTGGAAAGTAACTCACAATGTCAGAAAAGGTCAATTAAGTAAAGAAAGAAGCCAGCAATGCTCTCTATCACTACCGTAGCCAGACTGTGGCAAAACTTTCTTCAAAAAATAAAAATCTTGAAGGAGAATGCAAAGGCACAAACTTTGGCCTAAGAGATGTCAAAGTTTAACAAGCAATGCAGAAGGAAAAGGAACATCATCATGATCTTTTGAGGAAAGCAAAGGAAAAAATAACGGGAAGCAGTAAGAATGTATTTAAAAATTAATTGGAGCAAAAATCTGGCCAGGTTGGGTTGTTGGATATCCCAAAGTGTAAGAAATATTCAAGCATGATACAGAGATTACAGAGGAAGTAAGTGAATTTTTTTCCATTTGGTCTTCATTATAAAAGATCTGGGATAAATGTATGTACCCATACTGACTCTTCTCAGGGAAGGAACCCAATCAACTAAGAAAACTGTAACAAGAGGTTTTTGGACATCTCGAGAGACAAATCTCCAGACGCTCATCTGATTTATTTATATTTCAGATTTTTTAACTGCCCATCTCCCTCAGAGAGGGGCTCTGGGCAGTATTTACCAGAGTTATTAGAATTAAATTGTGAATCCCAAAGATGATGATGATGATGATGATGATGATGATGATGATGATGATGATGATGATGATGGTAGTAGTAGTAGTAGTAGTAGTAGTAGTAGTAGTAGTAGTAGTAAATGCAACACCAACTTTTACAAAGGACTTGGGGAGATTCATGAAGTTATATGTCAGTCATCAATATCTGCTCCAAATAAGTTGTTAGAAATAGTAATTTAAAAAAACTAATATTAAAACACACGATAGAAATTAGCACAGATTCTGGAAGGGTAAATACTGTCTCACCAATCTTCTAGAGATTTTTGAGAGTATCAACATGGATCAAGAAGAGCCTGCTGACATTGCATACTTGAATTTTTAAAGAGTTTTTGACAAAGTTATTTTTTCTCTACCTTTGAATAAATGGTGAGCATGTGATAAGATCTTTCCTAATACCAATTCCTAAATAGTTAAAAAGACAGAAAGCACAAGAATAAGAATGGGCAATTTTATCAATGAAAGGAAGAAAAAAGTGGAGTCCCTTAAAGAACCAAGTCACAGCAGTGTTTTTAAGCTTTTGATAAATGACTCAGGGGTAAAGCAGACAGCTGGTCTTTATGGATTATACTAAAATAGCTAAGATTTTGAAAACTAAAAGTGACTGTTAAATTGCAAATGTTCTTTAAGAAAGTGATTCAATTTAAGCAAATGTAAAGTGATGTATTAAAAATCCTGATGTCAAATTAGCTTCTGAGCTGTCTGGAACTAACTAGGTTCATTCAAATATACCATGCCTACCCCCACCCCCCCAAATGTACGTATCATTGCATAAAAGAACATGTTAGTACATACCTTGGTTCCTTTCCGCTGCCTTAGGTTTGCTGCTTTCACCACTTTGGCTGGAGTTGAATGTTCTAATAAAAATGGAGAAAAGTCAAACATTAGAACACCAATTTCATTACTGAAATAATATAGATTTATGTACAGAAAATGCAGTTTCCATTTCTGATTGAATCATGTACCCAATCACATTATACAAGATGCAAGGTTTATATCTCTTCTTTAGTCCACCCCAAAATAAGAAAACTTAAATGTCATGCTTCAATTCCTACCAAAGTGAATGTGTACAACTGCATATCCACTGGGATTGGATATACAGTCCAGGCTATAAATTGCATCTGTTCACTGAAAAAAAAAAGAGCAGGACTGTTTCTGAAGAGTTAGCATGCTTTTTGAATTTAGGCTCATTAAAGTCTTTCTCCAAAAAGTGTGTCTTCTGGTAGATTGGGGGGGGGGGAGAGATACTTTAATGCAGGGGTCTTCAAACTCAGCCCTTTTATGACTCATGGACTTCAACTCCCAGAATTCCGCAGCCAGGCACGCTGGCTGAGGAATTCTGGGAGTTGAAGTCCATGAGTCATAAAAGGGCCAAGTTTGAAGACCCCTGCTCTAATGTCTGAATCCATGGGAGGTGATAGAATCATCCTTATCTACCATCTTTTCTTTGCAGAAACTGCCAGTGAAGTTGATAATTTGAGCCTCTACAGATACTAAATACAGAAACAGTTTTAGAATGTAATATATATCTAGATCTAATCCAGTATCCATCAACCTAAGGCAAAATCCAAAATCAAATCATGCTGCAAACTTCAGAATATTTTCTTAGTTTTCTTCTCTGTTTCAAAAGCATCCTGTTACAGTATACTCTGGACTATGCAAGGAAAAGTTGAACAATATACTTTGTTCACCAACAGAAAAGAATAGAAGGTTCTGAACAGGGTTCACAACTGTTAATAAAATTGTAAAACAGCTATCACATGGTTTCAGGCATGATAACACACAACCAGTTAAATATCCTAAACTGGCTATCAGTTTAGAATAATAATTGTTCTAACAATCTTGCTAGATAAGATATGATCATTATGAAATAGCTTATAAATTACAATGCTACAGCTATTCATAATGTCACAAATAGTAGGGTTTAAAAAAAAGAGAACACCCATAATATTTTTCATAGATTTCTTGATGTAGAATGTCATCTACAAGATATTATTTTCTTCCTAACTTCTCTGTACTGATCGTAAGAATCTCAAGTACACTGTACCTGAACTAATGTGCAGTTGGCATAGAAAAAGCAGACTATTCAACTTTAACTGCATTTCAATATGTTTGCATCGCCTATAGTAATATATTTGAAACATTTCTATTTTTCCATCAATTCCAGCCAGATAGCTAAAGTAACACATTCAAATTAGTAACCTCTACTTACAGATCTAGAACAGCTATATTCAAAGCCATAACTAAGAGAAATTTACTCGTTTCCAGAGAGAGCTTGTTTTTAACTGCAAAGCTTGTCAGTTTAAGCCTATGTAATTAAGGCATTTATACTGTAACATTCTCAACAGATCATATAAGTTTAGCAGTAATTTTCTTGTACTGCTTATTTATATGGACTTCAGATAAAAACTCAAATGCCACTTAGCACATGCACATACAGTATCTCAAAACACACTAACATGTTCATTGCTAATATTATCTCGCCTCTCCCTGTCAGTTGCTCATGTTCCAAAGGTTAGACTTAAGCCTCACAATGTTCAAAACCCAAAGCAAGTACACACTGCATTCACCAGAATTCTGAAGAAAAATTCCTGATGGAATCAAATAGTAAATGCTCTGTCAAAATAACAGAACTTCAAGTGCTGCTAAAGGAGTACTTGAATTCATTTTATTCAATAGTTCATGAACTTTCTCTGTCTTCTTTTAATGAAACGGTGTGCCAAAAAGGAATATGCCCAACACACAATCTATTTTGTGCATTATAGAAGTGCCATGCAGTTTTGAAGGGATGGTTAAAAGTGGAATAATGACATATGGGGGATTTATTTGCTTCAAGTTTGGGAAGAAGTTATTTCCAATAAACTGAGAATTATTTAAATAATATTATGGATGACACTATGAGGTGAGGTTAAAAAAAAGCGGAATCTGAAAACAGAAAGTGTGTGTAGGTAGGTAGGTATATATATATATACACACACACACACACACAATCTCCAAAATTGTCTAGTTTTCTCACATGTAAATTACTTCAATCTCTCTTCTCCCAACCTTTTCACTCACAACTTCACAACTTTATATGCATCCCTTTAAGTTTTGCACCACCATGGAACCATATTACAAAAGATTTTCTCTCAGAAGAGATGTAGGAAACTTTTCTGTATCCAAATGGCAGAAGCTAAGGACAGCTCCTTGATATGAAGCATGTCTAAAATCTGCTTTGCAGCAGGCAACTGTGCATCTTAAAATATAACCCAATCCAATTCTGGGTCACAAGTCTGCCCATTGCACTTCAGCAATTCTGGACAGAGTGTTAAGCTGTTCCACACTATAGATACTACATGCTGTCTTACTTCTGTTTAGGATGATCATATAATGAATATTAATAAATCTAATCAGGATTTTTCTGCAGTCCTAACAATCTGCGATATAATTTTTTGTCACCATGTACTCCATAAACACACTCAGTATGTGTCAGAATCTTCTGCTAAATGCTTACAATTATGTATTTTTTTTAAAAAAGGCTAGTAAGATAACATCAACACCCAAAAGAGATCAAACTGCAGAAAAGAGCAAACTAATATGATAAATCTAGAACTATAGTAACAATAGCAAAGAATGTGCAACTAAAAAACAGAATTGCCATAGAATGTCTACATTACAGGAGTACTTTTTGCTGATATGGACAATACATAAATTATTTATCTAGCAACACAGGACAACAACCCAAGTTTGTTATAAGCATGCAACTCTCTCTAGGATTCCAGAAAAGCAAAAACCTTTTATTTATGTGTTGAAACAACAGGCAGTGGTTGTTGCTATCTTCCCGGTGGTTCCTCTGAATGTTTATTTGCTAAGTTTTGTTGATGACTGTCTAATTTGGGGCCAATCAATAAAACATTTCTCACTAAAAAAGGCATTTATAAGTAGAAGACTAAATACCATTAGTGCCGTCCCAATTTTGGATTAATACCATAAAGGAAGGAAACTCTATGTAAGACAATAAAAAATAATAGCTGGTCTAATATTAATAACAGATCTGCTTCCCCTCCCCCAGTCCTGCTTGCTACCTCATCATGGTGTGAGTGGGGGGGAGGAGAGACAAAGAACACTGGGAGTGTATGCCAAGAATATTTAATCACAGCAGGGTCACCCAAGGCAAGAAGGTCATCTCAGATGACATCAGCTAAAACAACCAGGTATTTATCAGTGATACAGGAAGATGCTTGAGGTGGACAGTCACTTTAGCAACAATGACAAAGCCATAATTTCATTTTACATGGGAGAAGGTAACAGTAAACCACTCCTGTATTTTACCAAGAAAGCTGCTGGATAGAAAGCATAATATGACTGACGATACATTGCAGATGAAGGGTCTCCCAGGTTAGAAGTCACTCAACATGCTACTGAGGAAAATCTTAATGCAGTGGTGGCGAACCTATGGCACGGGTGCCAGAGGCGGCACTCAGAGCCCTCTCTGTGGGCACGCGTGCCATCGCCCCAGTCCTAGGCCTTCAGCTGGGTTTTATAAAACCTTTTCACTTTAGGCCTCCGCTGCCGTGTGCAAAAAAAAAAAAGGTTCAATCAATCAGTCAATTTCAACTTCACGGGGGAAAAAAGATCTTGCAAAGTTGGAATTGATTGATTGAACTTTTTAGTCCCACCCAGTCTGCCATTACCACCGCAGCCATGCCCACCCAATGGGCCATACACCCCAATTGGCCACACCCAGCCAATGGGCCACACCCACCCGGCACCCAACGATGCATAAGTGGGTTTTGGGTTGCAGTTTGAGCACTCAGTCTCTAAAAGGTTCTCCATCACTGTCTTAGTGTTTATTACAAAAGTAGATAAAGCCTCTGAACATCTAATTTGCTTCTGTTATTATGCAGGAAAAGAAAATTTGAAGCTGCCAAGACAATTATAATGAGAAAGTGGAACCTATGAAATATGAATGTTGGAAAGTTCAACATATTGGAAGAAGAACTGAACCAACCAGACACTGGCATAATAGGCATTAGCAAATTCAGCAGACTGAAATTTGTCACTTTCAGTTAAAGATCATATTGTCTATTGCTTAAAATATGGAAAACAAAACAAAAAAAAGGAACAACACTGCTTTCTTTAGTTAGGAAGGATAACAAAAACAATACTTTATGCATTTAATGACCAAATGATATGAATTAGATTTTGTGGACAACCTTTTAATAATAAAAATATCCAAGTTTATGTTCCAATTATTGATGTAGAAGAGGAGGAGGTGGTTGCATTTTATAATTTATTTATTCATATATCACATTTAGAAATGATCAAATGCAATTTGAAATCAACAGAACTGCAATCAAGATGTGCTACTTGAGGTTGGAGATTGAAATGCAAAAGTTGGAAATATTAAGGAGAAAAATGTAGTTAAATTGTATGGAAACCAAGTGAAGCAGGATAATGACATTACTTTCTGCCAATTAAATGATTTCCCCACTTTAACAACCTTCAAAAACTAATATGATGGCCATATAAGATCACCATATGGAGTACACAAAAGTCAAACTAACTATATTATGTACAAGGGGGAAAAAAGCTCAGTTATAATAGCAAAGACCTAACCGGGGGCTGATTGCAGAACAGATCTCAAATTGCTCATGTGCAACTTCCAAGTTGAGCTAAAGATGAAGAATGTCAACAGCCTTCTACAATATGATCTTGAACATATACTCATTTTCATGGAGAACCGCAGGAATTGTTTTGAAGTACTAAACTTCATTACAGGGAATTAGAGAAATTGTGGAATGAACTCAAAGAAACTGTTAAGGATAAATGTGAAAGGGGACTGCCAAAGAGCACAAAACAGAAAAAAGCAAAT